CAACGGCAGAGATTGCGTTTTTAAAAACACTGCTACTCCTTCCGTATCCAATCAGGGGCCTTCCTAAAATGCAGTCAAGACGCAGCCCCAGGCCGGGACATAACACACCTCATTCCACCCCCCACCCCCCACCCCCCAGAATCTGACTGGTGAAGGAAGTGTCAGCTCTGTGCCTCCAGTTTCCCCTATGAACCCCGGGGCCTGGGAACACAGTCTCCCCCCGCTGATGAGCGTGAGGCCGGAAGAGGAAGAGGGCGGCTGATTGACGTTCTGCAGTGGCGCTCAGACCCCTCCCCCGTGCATACAGCTTTCAGAGCTTCTTTCTGGAGAACGGATGTTGGCTTGTCATTATCGGTGTCACATTGTCATTTACTGTCCCACATCAGTCAGACCTGGTCTCTAAAAGCGCAGTTCCACCTGTGCCAGATGCCAGACAAGGCAGCAAGTGTGCTGCTCTGGGGCGCAGCCGCATTTGGGTGATGAGATTCAGGAGGCACCGCAGCTTCTGCGCTCAGCGATGAATGAAGTAAGACGATGTTGAAGGGGTAAATCCCACCCTGGAGGGCGAGTTCCCCGAGGGCCAGTTATTACTGGTTCAGCACTCCAGGGTCACAGCCCCTCCAGGACCCTGGGGGCTGCGTGTAGTTTAGAATCCAGAATGTTTCAGGTTTTAGAAAGGCAGGATGGTGTTTACACTGAGTAGTTATATAACACCCATGGGGCCAGGGGCTGCGCCCCTTAACCAAACACATTACCGTAGCTGCAGTGAAAGGCAGAATTCACACCAGGTCGGATAAAGGGAGACCACAGACAGCTTCGCTGCTTCCAGGCAGGGTTTGCTGTGGAATGAGTTGCCCAAACGTTGTTTCTCAGAGCTTTTCCAACAATTTTTTTTTCAAGTTTTAGTTTTGAGGTAATGGTAGGTTCACGTGCAGTTGTAGGGAATAATACAGAGGGATCCCCGTGTACCCTTCACCCAGTCTCCCCCAGTGGTACCGTCTTACCTAACTGTAGTACAACATCGTAACCAGGACGTTGACCTGGAGACAATCCACTGACTCGTTCAGAGTTCCCCTAGTTTTACATGCATGTATTTGTGTGCACGTGTGCATGTGAGCGTGTGTGCGTATTTCTACCAGATCTTAGCACATGTGTAGGTTGGGGTACCCACCACCACAGTCGAGATAAAAGTTCCATCAGCACAAGTCTCTAGCCCTCATGTTGCTCTGGTAGAACTTACCTACCTCCCTCTGGAACACCTGGCAACCGCTGATCTGTTCTCCATCTCGTGTATTTCAAAGCCTTTTGAATTTCAAAATTGTGGGCAAGGGCTTGTGAATCTGTATTTGTTTATGGTCCCAAACCAACTCCTAGTATATGCAGTGCTGGAAGAGGAAGGCCATTAAAACTCGTGTTTCTGACTTAATCCTGTGGCATACCGTAGGGATCCTGTGTGTGTACCTAAGTTACAGAAACAGAAACATCTGGATTTGAAAAAAAAAGCACGTGAACCACTAGGCCCAGGAGAAAAATCAATAAAAATAATTTTTTGCCTAAACATGTTTCTGTAATCGGGTAAAGAAGAAGTATGTTCTACATGACAGTCCATTACAGGAAGCCGGAGATGTATGGGAGATACACAGTACTGTCATTCAGAACAGGTGTCACAGAGTGAGACTCACCTGGGGTGGGCCCGGCTCAGCCACCTGCCTGCTGGTCGCCCAGCCGGCTCCTGCCCTGTAAGATGGAGACGCCAAGTGCAGCCTCACTGAGGAAGAGATTAATTGGAACACTGCACTGAGAGGCTGGGCTGTAACGACGGCTCAATGCACGGTTGCTCTCGTTTTAGTGACACAGCTCCGCCTGAAAGCCTGGACTTTGCAGGCGGCAGGGGTAAGAAAGCAGATCTTGCTACAGTCTGGTCGAAGCCCAAGGCGACGTGCTGGTTGGGGCCTGTGACAGAGGCGAAATCAGAAGGGTCAGCCAAGTCATCCGGCCAACTGTGGCCTGTGTGGCGGGAAGGGGAACTGGTTCCAACGTTGAGGGGTGGCGGCGGCGAGCTGTTCCTCCTGACCCCGAGATGGATGGTCATGGGGTCTCGGCAGACACTAAGTGCTTTTGTCCTCTCCCTAGGTGATGGCCCCTACGGCGGCAGCGATGACCCAGAATCTGGTGGGTTTCTGAGTCCTGAGGTGGTTGGAAGCTGTCGTCTCAGACTCGGCCATCCCCGGCCTTCCCCTGAATGTCTCCGATAGAGGCTCATGAGGCAAACAGCAGAGGGCTGCAGCCTGTGAAAGGAATTAAGCAGGAAACACCAGAGCCTGGGGGAGGCGGCCCGATGTGAAGCCCGCTGGCCCAAGACCTAGATGCGTCTCGGGGGACACAGGCCAGTCCTGTTCTCTGGGCCTCGGTAGACGAGGGACTGCTCCGTTCCCTGTCTGCCTTTCAAGTCCTAAGAATGGACATTCTCAGAAAAGTGAGGAGCACTCAGCAAATCAAGGGACGCTGGGTTGTTTTAATACCTTAGAAATATCTGGGTAACCCTCTCACACAGGCTGGTCAGTCCTGGGTACCTGAAATAGCAGAACTCAGTGGCTGGGGTGGGAAGGGAACCAGGTGCCTGAGCCTGAACTTGAATCTGAGCTGAGTCTCGTGGTGCTGTTGGTTTGAGCCTGCCTCTCCCCCTCCCTCCTCCTCTGGCCAGGGATGTCTGCAGAGGCGGGCACCATCGCCGGGGTGGCCAGCGCCCTGGCCATGGCGCTGATCGGCGCTGTCTCCAGCTACATCTCCTACCAGCAGAAGAAGTTCTGCTTCAGCATCCAGCGTAAGTGGATCTGGGCCACAGCCTTGGGTGGCTGGGCCCACAGCGGTGTCGTTCCCCCCTTCCTAGACTAGAACAAATCGAGAAGGTCTTCCGAGGGAAAGGGGCCGAAATGGGAGCAAGTTAAGGGTCGGCGCAGGGCAGGGGTGGAGGCTGCATGTTTGCAAATCCTTGGGGCGGATCTGGGCTGAACTGAAGTGTAAACTGGCCTGAAAGGGCAGGGCTGGCCATGACCATGAGCTTCCAAGAGCTCTAGTTCCCAGAGGCCATATTTCTGTGGAGACAGAGCCCAGAGACCCTTGTGATGTTTCCTTCCCGTAGAATGGGATGGACCCTGGAACTTCCGTATAGCCTCAGGCCTCACCCAAGGGGAGGCCCCTGGTCCCAGCTCCCTCTCGAGCACCGATGTCACCAGGAGCTGGTAGCAGCAGTCTCCAGATGATCTCTTAGAC